TGTAAAACCAGTCTTGTTTGTAAAGTATTTGTAAATTATTTGAATACGTATTGTCTCATATACTTATTACCACTCAATCTAAAACTGACAAATATTAGCGGGGCAAAAAATATTATATTCTAATAATCTAATAGTATTTGAATACAAAATAAAAGTATTTTTCACAAGACTACAAAACTAAACTGTGTAAGATATCTATATTTTGCTAGGTACGTTAAAATAGTATGAATGTATGATTATTTTTTAGTTTTATTTGAAAAGTTGATTTCTTATGTAGATTATTTACCAAGTAGGTAATCAAAATATATTCATTAACTGTTATGTACTATTATAATTTTTTTAAATGTTTTCTATTAAAAAGCAATAACAGCAATATTTTTTGACTTTTTATTACGTAGTTTTACTTAGTATCTTTTTAGTAATAAAACAGAATAGACATAATCAAGTGTTATATACAAGTGATATGTACTTACTCTAATGGATACTAGATTCAAAATAAGAATTCATAGTGATGTATCCATTAAAATACAAAAATAAAATATAATTTACGAGGTAGTGTATTTTAAAAGACACAAAATTGAAAACAGCTTTAGCTTTTTTGAGGTGATGCATTTCTAAAGATACACAATTCAATTCAAAATATCTCAAAAACTAATGTAAATTATTTAAAAATAAGGTTAAAAATCATCAGTGCACATCTGCAATTGGTTATATAGACCTCAATAACTTATACCCGACAAGAGTTTTAGTAGTTCATACTTTATATATAAATACTGCTTAATGGTACACTACATTACTACAATAAACATTAACCACTTAGGTACCTATTGATAATAATGATTATAATTATGTCTTCATAAATATTATTACAAATATAAATATTGACCAACAAATAACATTTTTTGAAAATATCTTTTTTTTTTATCTAGATAAAAATGAAATTATATTTTATCTTTATCTAGATGAATTTGAACATATTATCTTTCATATTTTTCTAGATAAATTTTGCATTATCTATTCCCAACACTGATCATTAATCGAGACAACTTTTTTTTTAAATAATAATAATAAGAATTAAATATAAATACGTAACAACAACAAAAATATATATGAATACAAAGGAATTCTCATAATAAAAAAATTACATCATAACAATATACAATAGAACTTTAAAGTTCCTAATACATTAATAAATAATATAACATCTTATAAAATACTAAAAAACTTTTATAAATTTAACCGATTAGGAGTTTTTTTAATCCTCTCACTCCTCCACAACTTTGGAATCTCCTGCTGTTCAGTCTCATGTTTATCATCAACCCCACTTTCCCCTCTCCATACCTCATTAACAGGTAATGATGGTAATAGATCTTTTGGCCCCACAATAGATTTTGTAAAAGTTTTAATACAAGAGTTGGTTTCAACACCACTAGTTTCCCATAACTGATTAATATGTCTCTTTCAAATCTCACCCCTTATCATTTGTACCACATAAGTTACCGAAGATAATATTTGAATAATAGTACTTCTTATCCACTTGGCCCCACTAGCATAATTTCTGCACATCACATTATCCCCAAATTCAAAATGCTTAACTCTACCCCCCTTATAAGCTTTCTTAGCTGCCAACATACTATTATTATATTTATATTTAGCTCTCAGCACCAATCTATTAAAAGATGTAAATAACTTCCTATCAATATGCAAGTCAGCTGATGTTACACCTGTACCACAATGCTTGGTACTATTATAAGATAACATAAATCTGGCAATCTCTGTTTCTAAGTCAGGCTTCATACCACTCTTTTTCAAAAATTTCTTAAAAGTTCTGACCAAATTTTTAGCAGCCCCATTAGACGCCGGACTCTATGGGGGTGTTTTCATATGGAACACTCCATTCTTAACTAAAAACTGCTCCATAACTTCTGACACTAATGAAGGACCATTAACTGTTACAAGCTTTGCAGGTATGCCCCACAGAGAAAAATATTCCCATAAAATCTTTATAGTGGGTTCTGTAGTAATATTATTCATAAACCTAACATGAACCCATTTGGAATGTGCATCAATTATTATCACAAACATAGATAGGCCCTAAAAAATCCAAATGAATCCGTTGAGCTGGTCCCTCAGGCTATGGCCAATTGTGTAATATTGACTTTGGTGGATTATCACTATATTCAACACACCCACGACATTCTTTAGTAATTAAATCAATTTCTTTGTCAATATTTAGCCACCACATAGACCTCGCTATAGCTTTCATTTTAACTGTAACTAAATGTGAACTATGCAATTCCATCAACAAAACCTCCCGAAACTTTAATGCAATAACCAACTTATGTCCCCATAATAACATACCTTGTTTAATATCAAGCTCATTCCTCCTATTAAAATAAGGCTTAATATCTTCAGACATTTCTTTACTAGAATTAGGCCACTTTCCTGACATCACCCACAAAAAACTTTTTTTAATACCTTGTCCCTTTGAATTTCTTCACAAATATCTAAATCAGCAATCCCCTGAACATTAGTAGTTATAAAATTAATAAAAAAAATATTGCAAAATACATGATTGATCATATCTGCCCCCTCAAGTGGTAATCGGAATAAGGCATCCACATTGCCATTGTCATCTCCCTTCATAAATTCAATAGTATAAGTATAACCAGCGAGGAAAATTGCATACCTCTGCAGTCTATGGGCTGCCATTACTGGAATCCCTTTTTTTTCTCCAAATATTGGTATTAAAGGTTTATGATCTGTTTTAAGAATGATAGATCTGCCATACAAATATTGGTGAAAATATTTAACACCATAAACCAAGGCCAAAGCTTCCTTATCCAACTGAGAATACCCCTGCTCACTTTTACTAAGCATCCTAGACGCGAAGGCAATAGGCTTTCCAACTTATCGGGAAACCTATGTGACAGCACTGCACCAATACCCTTAGGGCTCGCATCACAAGCTAAAACTAATTCCAAAGTTGTATCATAATGTGTAAGTACTGTTTTTGACAATAAATTATTTTTAATATTAGCAAATGCCTTATTTTGCTCTGGACTCCAAAAAAATTTAACATTAGCTTTCAATAAATAATACAAAGGACTAGCCAAAGATGACATATTCCTAAAAAACCTACCATAATAATTGACTAGACCAAAAAACGCTTTTAATTGATGAACATTTTCAGGAGCTTTCACCTGAACAATGGCTTTAACTCTTTCCTCAGGAATATGCAAACCCTCCTTATCAATACTATGTCCTAAAAAAGTGTCACTATCTTACAAAAATTTATATTTACTAGCCTTAACTATTAAACCAGCTAATTTCAATCTCTCTAATACTTTCAAAAGTCTCTCAGTAACTTCCTTGTCATCCTTACCCGTTATCACTACATCCAGGTCCGGATTAAGATATTTTGCCCCCCGGGGCAAACCTACCTAAAATTAAGAACTACTTTTTAATAATACATAAACATAACATTGTTTTACTATAATTTGTGCATTTATTAAATAATATTAGAAATATATTTAAATTATATGATAACAATCTTTTTAATATTACTATATACCTAAACAATAAACTATCTAAATACATTTATTAAAATAACAATTTTGTAATCATGATTTAGTTTAATTTTAATTAACTTATTAAAATGATATATAAAATATTGAGATTAATTATGTAAGTAAATAAAAATAAAAATATATTTTATTTTTGTTATTTATAATATTTTTATAAAAACGCTTTTCTTGATTTCTGTTTAGCGAATTGGTCAGTATATTCATCCCATGACATAGATTCAAGTAAAACATTTTCAATATTAAGAATAGCAAATTAATTTAATTTTTCTTTTGAAAGAGTAGATCGAAAATAGCTCTTGACCCTTTTTAAGGCCGAAAACGATCTTTCGCCGGAACAGTTAGATATAGGTAGAGTATAATACAATCTTAATGTAATTTCAGTATTAGAAAATAAACTGTCCAACTTTTTATTTCTCAGAATTGTTAATAAATTTTGTGTATTTGGTTTATCGTGGTTGGATTCGTCTGATTTGGGAAAAATAGAATTCACTATTAAACTCAATTTCAATGCTTCTTGAATAAAATCTTCTTCTATATCATCGCAATAAATATTTTGAAAATGATGTGCCTTCTTTTCATTATCATCCGATTTTAGATTCCCAAGATTAAATAAAAAATCAAATTGATTATAAATTTTATCATAAGCAATTTTTTTTTTAGTCAAATCAGAAATCATTGTGTCAAATCAGAAATCCCCCCTCCCGGATGTCCACCTATGGTCACGATCGTTCAGTTTGTAAAGTTGTACGAATTTTGGGAGTTCTATGATCATTACACCGTATATCGGTTCAACCACTGAAACCTCCTATATAACTAAACTTTCTAAACTAAACTCCCTCTCAACTAAACTTGGTTTTCCCGTGTATAAATCATTTTTCCCTCTGTCATTTCATTTACTCTCATTCCGTATCACCACCGTGGCCTGAACGTATGAATTTTAAGTTGCTTGTCTCCAATATTCAAGACATACTCTATGGTAGCCCATCTAAAGAAAACTCGGGCACGTTATCCTTAACAAATCTCAATCGTAATTGAATTCACGTCATTACCGCGAATAGTTTTTCACTCGTCATTGCATCTACACTATGATTATTTATATAATTATTTTTTTAATTTTTTCGAAAACTGATTTAAAATTCCGTTTTTTTTTTTTTTTTATATAATTCGTTAAATTTTTACGATTATTAAAAAAACTTTTGAGAGATTGGTAAAATTAACCCATCAAAGAACCAACTAGACAACATTTTCTATCAAAAGCATTTATTTTTTTTATTTAGACCTGAGGAATTCAACTGGTCGAAATCATGTTCTCTAACACAAAAAAAAAAAATAAAATAAAATAAATGGTAAAATCAATACACATTCATTGTTTCACAAAAAATCTATAAAAAAACAACAATACATATTTAAAACTATTTTATAATATTTTTCTATATTCTCCTGTCATTTATTAATAAATGTTTATAAATAAGTTATTTTATTTTTTCTCCGCCATCCCTTCTTCCCTATTGACAGACGACTATCAAGTTGTTTAGAATTTTCTTTGGAAGATTTTTCATTGGAAGTAAGATTCTTATTAGCTGATGCATTTTCTTTGGAAGATTTTTTATTGGAAGTAGAATTTTCATTAGCCGATGAATTTTCGTCAGAAGACTTTTCATTGAAAGTTGGATTCTCATTAGCCGATGAATTTTCGTTGGACAATTTTTCATTGGAAGTAGGATTCTCATTAGCCGATAAATTTTCGTCAGAAGATTTTTTATTGGAAGTAGGATTCTCATTAGCTGATGGATTTTCATCGGAATAAGGTTTGTCTTCATTTGGAGGTTCAGCAGGGGGAGCTTCAGGTTCAAATGGATTATTTGAAAACCATTTATTAAGAATTGTATGAGGATCATTACTATTTTCGGTTTGTGTGTCATCTGAGTTTGTATTTGGTGTTGTTTCTTTTTTATTATTTTTATTTTCATTTGATGAATTATCTTCTTTTTGTGTATTTTTGTGTTCTTGTGATTTTGTGTCTTTTGAGTGCTCTGAGTTTTTCGAATTCTTTGTGTCATTTGGTGAATCCTCCTTTTTCGACGGATGATTTTCATCCTTTGAGTGAATTTTGTCCTTTGAGTGATTTTCATCCTTCGAGTGATTTTCATCCTTTGGGTGATTTTCGTCCTTCGAATGATTTTCATCCTTTGAGTGATTTTTATCCTTTGAGTGATTTTTGTCCTTTGAGTGATTTTCGTCCTTTGGGTGATTTTCGTTCTTCGAGTGATTTGCGTCCTTTGAGTGATTTTCGTGCTTTGAGTGATTTTTTTCCTTGGATTGATTCTTGTCTTTGGAGTGATTTTTATTATTTGGGTGATTTTTTCCCTTAGAATGATTTTTGTCTTCTTTGGAATGATTTTTAACTCCGGAGGGTTTTTTGGTCTTCGGTCGTTTTGGTTTTGACCTCCGATGATACTTGTATTTTAGTGAGTAGCTATTTCTTTTTGATTCAAAAACTTTTTTATCTAATAACTTTGGCCACAATTTGTTCGATTGGCGTGGAAATTCTTCTAGGGCAAAAGACATTCTAAAAATAAATAAATATCAGTGTCATAAGCTTTTATATATATATACAAAAATAAAATAATATGACCTCTTCCATATAACGTAACATTGTGAAAACTTTGTGAGCTTTGTAAGAAAATCTTAATTATATATTTATATAGTATAATTCAAATTATTCATGATGTTTATTGTGATTTAAAAGAAAATTATACAGTTCTTTTCTAAGCTCGAATACCCTTGCTACTACATTTCCACGTGAAAGCCATTGAGAATTGCTATAGTAAAGTAAGGAAGAATCCTCAGCTCCCATATCAAAACACAATTGTTTGAAAAAATATGAACATCGACGGACTACTTTTGGATGAAGTTAATACAGAATACTCTATCAATATAGAAATACATTTATAATAAAAACATAATTGAGGAAGGCTTTAATATTGAACATTTTCATCGAGATAGACCGTCGCAAAACCTCGGAACGGCACTGATATATGAGATAAAATTTTAAATATTTACCACCCCTACCGATGGTAGACCAGATACTATTACTAACAGTGAATATATAAATTCGTGACTTGATTATATGAAAATAAATAATTACATAAATTAATTTAATGAATTTTTCACCGTACTGAAATTATTCAGTGTAATACCAGCTACAAGTTGTTCCTGTGAATGGATATTTTTAAAATTAACAATAATTAAAAAATAAATTAAGGAACACTATGCACCAAAACTGACTTTATCATTTATTATTAATGTTTACTGAACCAAAACTAACATTGAAACGGTGATTGACGAATTCAAAACTATGGAAAATAGGAGAATTAATTTATATTTCTCCTTTAATTATAATTATTACATAATTACAAATTTATGCATAACTAAACATACGCATAGATACTTATAAGCAATAAGTATTAATATAAATATATATATACATTTTTTGTTTATTAAACCAAGTTTCTTTTTTAAATATTGGATAATGTGTTTTCTTCTTTTTATACATAATTAATATTAACCTAAAATGTGTTGGTGGAATGAACATATGAAATTTGCTAAAGAAAACATTCTTTTAACTAGCGCTAAAACTAATGGTATTCTGTATTAATATTATCTTTATTATGTATTAACAAATGGTATTCTTATTAAATTAATTTAAAAAAAAAAATAAATTATTTTTCACTGAGTAAAGTTACTTTTTTCTAATCATCATGTAACTTTTATAAGTTAACTAAAAAGAAAAGTAATTTTTAACTTTTAAATAAACTTATATTTTTCCATATATACTCAACTTAACGAATTAAAAAAAATGAATTCACTTGCTCTGCCATGTTTATTTGAATTTCTTGCTTTTTCGAACTTATTTTATACGTATTTATTACTCAACTCCTTGAAGATTAAAAAAAATGTATTTAAATTTAAGTAGTTTATAGTCTTATTAAAATTATTATGATTTTTTAATGATGAAGGAAAAGTTCCATGATTTCCCTAGATCTTGGTGGCTATTATTGTTGACATCGAAATTCTGATATCATAGGGTCCACATAATAATAGGTATAAAATATCGGTGTCACACTCACAATACAGTAGGTTGAACAGTTTTCTTATCGATTTGAAAACTCCCATGGTTTTGTAACTCGGTATTATCATCCTTTGGCTGTATGTATCTGGTATGAACAATAGACAAGGTATACATAGTGAGCAGACATAACATCCATACCTAAAAAATAACACGAACACGAATCAGTTGTTTTAAATATTACGATCGTTACATATAGCCATATACGAGTACATAAGCACCTGCATGTCTCTTTGTAAGTGTTATGAATAATAATGCATACATCTTATACACATAATTATATGTAATATAAGATATAAAGTTAATGTAAGACATGCATTTACATTTTAAAATCACAGGAGAACCATGAGAAGAAACTAAAAATCACATTTGGCTCCTACACCCTCTTCCCAAATACGTTTAAAATTCAATGTGTATTCCGATTTTTATTTTTACTGCATAATCCCGTACATTAATTTGTTAGCAAAAAAGATCCGTTTGTCAAAAATTCGTCTAAGTAATAATATTGGTTGTAATTAAAATTTTTTTGTATGTATTCACGTCAATGCTTATTGTTTTTTCAGCCTTAATTTTTATACTTGCATCAAATTATTCATAATAATGCATAGTATTATTTCATGCAACGAAATACTACTCATCAAGCGCATAATAACAGACTACCGCTCTTACTACTCCGAAAAAATTAAATATAATATTCCAACTAATCTATACGAAGCATTTGAACCAACAATCACTGTTAATCTCATCCCTTTCATCAAGGAAATCGGATTAATTATAATAATAATATAATATAATAAAAATATAAATATTATAATAATATAATAAATATAATCGGATCACATTAATTTAAAAAAATTAACTAAAATTCTTTCTGTTATTTTATATAATATATAGACAAAATAATGTAGTTTTTAAAAAAAAATGTAATTAACAGCCACGACACCCTAAATTATAATTTAAACAAATAAAAAAAAAATACGTAATAATTAAGTTATGGGTAAAGTTCGAAAATGGGTAGCTTACACATTACCCGGGTAAAGTACACCTTATTCATATGAATAGTATGTGTACTAGTGCTCAGCGTGATCCGTTATTTTAAGGACCAGACCGGACTTCAAATTTTAACAGGGTACCGAAATCGAACCGGACCACACTTAAACGTTAATCAAAGACCAAAATTGAACCGTACCGACGGATTCATATTATTTTTAGACCAGACCGGACCTGTAATTAAATAAGATTTAATAACATGGATCGTGGACCGGACTATCGGTCTGATCTTAAAACATTTTGGACCGTTTATGAAAAGGTCTGTAAGGTTCAGTCTGTATTAGCCCAGACCGTACCATATGATGCGTGTAGTATTACACTGAACCGGACTAGCCGACTTTATAAATAAATATATACCTAAATTTGTAGGTTTTTTACGTTTTATTTATTTACATAACAATATCTGTATTTAGATTTAAAGTTTCATGATTGGGACCGGACTGAGTCCGGACGGGATTGATTTTGATCTTTTTTTTTTTTTTTTTAAACTGGACTGGATTGAAAATAATGCATTTGATCTGAGGACTGGACCGAACTATTCCTAAAAATTATTGAACCGAACCAAACTGACGATTCAATAGTTTTTGTATATTAGGACCGTACTAGACCAAACCACGATCCGGTCTGGTTAGGACCAGACTGATTAAGACCGGACCATGCAAAGCACTAATGTGTACATTATCCAGTGTGCTATGGATAAGGTATGAAGTGAAAAAAAAAATCAAATCATATTAATTCAAAAAAAAATTATTAAGTAAATTATGTGCATATTATTAAGTTATTATTTTATAAATAAAAAATTTAAAAATTTAATGTAATTATTTATTGGAACAATTCAGATTCGGGTGACATTTTTAGTTGCAATGAAAAACTCATGTTGTTGTGCTCAAACAACATAATTGTGCTCAAATGTAAGCCACAGACAGACATCGTTTGGCCTTAAGACTTATTGATAGTCATTGCAAATGCCAATCTAATTGGAAATTGAAGGCGTTTAAATTGTATTGGCACATCTGTGGGTATAATAGAGATTCGCGGTAATAATATATTTTCAACTCGGAATTTGCCATTTAAAATGATGGCTTCGATAAAATTTTTCATTAATTTTTTAACGACTAATCGCGTGCCATTGCACAACTGTGGTGGGTTCAAATTACGACAAATAACCGAAGATCCAACCTTCAATTGAAAATTATGCGGAAGCATGCCTGATAAATCCAATAAGTTTAAAAACTCTTTTGAATAATTTACAGTTTCAGTAGCATCGCAAACTGTATCAATAGATTTGTATAGCGTTTTAACGCTTAAATTGAATAACGTTTAAATTATTTATAGCGTTAAACGTTCAATTGCTTATAATGTTTAAATGTCCCATAACGGTAAATAATATATATTATTTTGATTTAAACCCTGGTCCATACTTAGTGAAAAATTAAATAAAACACAAGTAAAACTTTCAAAACACAGATAGGTGTTAAAAAAAAACTACACATAAGTCCATTCTAAGTGGATCCAGCATAAGATTAAAAAAAAAAAAAACCACAAATATACCACAAAATTCACCTGATTTAAATATTACCAAAAATTTTATTTGTAAATGTTGAGCCTGAATTAAAAAATATTTGATTCCCCCCCCCCCTAGAAGTAAGTCTAAATACGCCCCTGGACATAGGCCACCTTAGCTTAAAGGTTGGGAAAACTGATCTAAACTAACAATAATGTTTATATTAATATAAAGCAGCGTTTCTTAAACTGTGTTCCGCGAAGATCACTTCAGGATTCCGCGAAGCTTAAGTAATTTTTTAAAAATGTTTAAGAAAATGACTTTAAAATCTCCAACTAAAGATTAGTAATGGTGAAAAAATGTTTGCATTATAGAAAAAAAAAATTTGTATATTAAATAACAATGTACGTTTATATTTAGTATAATCAAAGTAAATATTAATAAAGTATTATTATTTTTATTTTAACCCATTTTTTGAATTATATACCTTTAACACAATATTATATGGTTATAATTTATTTAAAAATAATCTTAAAGAAAGCTAATAAGCTAAAAAAAAGTGGGGGTTTCACGATAAATGTGGACATCAAAAAGAGTTCCACGGATAAAAAATTTAATAAACGCTGATATAAAGTATGTCTTACTTTGAGTGGTGTCATTTTCTATTTTACGATCATAAAACGCGATATTTCTATTATTATTCTTCACCGCGATTCGTCTTATACAGTTAATCGTCAATCGTATGCACTGTAGACCATATTAATTCCCAGAATTTGCTAGAGTGTCTGCATTTTTAATTTATAGTGATCTAAAATTGTTTCCACCAACCTTTGATAGTGGTTCAAATTACAAGAAAATTGCAGTAGATTATTTTAAGAAAACTTGTACACTAATTAAGACGTCATTTTATATAATTGTCGAGACTCACTTCGTATCTGAAAAATGTTAATGTTTGATAATTACTGATATGTTTAAATTTCTAAATAATTTAATGTGAATATTATGATAAATCCAAACTTCACCTAGTCATATTGCAGTTCAGTACAAATTTAAATAATATTTTACTTAACACTAGAAATAATTGTTAATTTTTATATATGGTATTTAGCTATGCGTTTAAATTATTGGAATACTATATTGAATGTATACACTAAATTATTAACAATAGCAATAAACTTTATTTAAAGTTATAATACACGAAGTATAAGTATAATTATACTAATATAGTGTATACATACAATACCTATTTATCAAGTTTAGTTGTATACCTGTATACTTTAAGTTCCAGATGGCGTATTTGAGGGGGGAGCGATGGGGAAATCGCTCTCTCCGAAAATTTTTAAACCCAGACAATTTTTAAATAAGTAATGGATATTTTATTAAGAAACAAAAATTATGATTTATTTTATAATATTACTAAATTTGAAAACGTTTCAAATTGTACACTAATTTAAATAACACAAAACGCTAAATTTTTCATAACGTTTTAATTGTCGATAACGGTAAACGGAAAATTTTTTAAACGTTTAAATTTATATAACGTTTAAACGCTTAAATTGAATAACGTTTAAATTATTTATAGCGTTAAACATTCAATTGCTTATAAGGTTTAAATGTCCCATAACGATAAATAACATATATTATTTTGATTGAAGACCCAGTCCATACTTAGAGAAAAATTAGATAAAACACAAGCGAAACTTTCAAGACACAGATAGGTGTTAAAAAAGAACTATACAATAGACCATTTTAAGTGGATCCGGCATTAAATTAAAAAAAAAAAAAAAAAACCACAAATATTAAGGATTCACCTAATATAAATATTACCAGAAATTTTACTTGTAAATTTTGAGCCTGAATTAAAGAAAAAATTTGAGTCGCCCCCCCCTCCCCCATAGAAATAAGTCTAAATACGCTCCTGTTAAGTTTGTGGGTGAGTATAGTTTTACTGTGATTTACGATTGGTTAGGCGAAAGTTCAATATTACAACAAATCTTATCAGACTTAACTTTTAAATCATAGTCAGCGTCTTGTATTGTATTATTGTTATTATTATATTTTCTAAATAGTAATTTGGTGATATTTATTTTAGATTCTGAGTAAAACAAGGAATTTATTGATTTTACTATGATGTGTGGTTTTTTTTTTTGATCTTTGTACACATTTTCGACCAGAAAGAACGTTCTGACCAAATAAATATTAAAAGATGAGAAATGGGTTCTATTTAGTACACTCGAAGAGTAATTTCTTGTTTTTATTAATAGTTTTCAAGAAATTGAGAAAAACGAAAAACAGAGAAGAAATGACAAAAAACTTAAAATTTAAATCGAGATTGAAAGAATTTTCAAAATCAATTTAGTAGATCCAGATATTAACCCCTACAACCTCACCAACTTTATCTTGTTATAATAATATATATATAATATTATTATGTTTATTATTATTATAAGATTAAATGTTATACGTTTTACTGGAATATGATTGGAAAAAATAAACAAACGAGCAAATTATGGTTATGTAGTTGAATATATTGACGATGGCAGGATTAAAATAGTTCCTTAAAATTGCTATTTAGACAAATCGAAATTGTTATTGGACAAATTATTGGAGAGATCAACGAAAATTTAATACCATCAACTCATACATAAATGCAAAAAAAAAAGATCTAGCCATGAAAAAAATTGGTTTGTATTTGTAACTCCGACACATTCAAGTTCTGATAATACCTAATATAAATTATTTTTAATTTATATTAACAATTATGTATTATGTAGTTATTTTTCAAATTACAAGCTATACGCTATATACGGTCGTACACCCGCGTATCATCAATTTTTTATAAGCTATACGCCATGGATAAAAATAGCGTATTGGATATACGCCGTATACCCCCGTATACCCTCCAATACATCACTGGTTCTATCTAAGATGAATGGTTCTCTCTCATAAATGTAGCTACCAAATACATTTTAAAAAAATATGGTACGCATCCGAATTCCGTTCCAAAAACCTTTTTTTTATACCAATTCTGTCTCTATTAAAAAAAAAAGGTGTATACCAATTACATCATAATTAAAAAAAAGGTATATACTATTCCGTCCTTAATAATTTGTATAATTATTTTTGTTATAAAATACATTAAAAAAAATTTAAGTATTCATATTATTTACATTTTCATAAGTTAATCGTAATAATATACATATGTATAATAAAAAAAAATTCTGTATATACTAAATATATTAAATAATTTGTATAAATATGGTTTTCATCATAGGCATTTACGGAGTGTGCCAGTTGTGTCTTGGAACACCCTAATGTGAATAATGTGAATAGAAAAATTGAATAATAACAATTAAGAATATACATACACATTAATTAAATTTTAGTTTTTTGTAAATAATACTGCAAGTGTTCAGAATAAGTCTCAAATAATAATTACAAGTATTTTTTACCAATCGTTATTTTAAATTATTAACGAAGCCTTTATTTTTAGAATTTAAATCATTACACGGTCTACACGTACTTGTTTATTATTATTGTTAAATTATATTCAATGTTATTGTCGTCGACATGAAAATCTCGCTATAAAGGTACGGTTTCTAAGGTACGACATGTCGCGGTGACCTGTCGCTGCGACAAGTCGTCAACATCTGTTTATACGAAAATGTTATTCATTGGTTTGCAAGAACGACATGTCGCGGTGACCTAACTTTGAGTCGTCGCGACCGACGACATTACTGCTCCGGGAGCAGTACCTTGCGACATGTCGCCGCGACACATCACAACGAATCACAACGACTATTGATACGTTTGTAGATATAATGGCGCCAACACTGATATTCTCGGCGTCGGAAGACGAAATTCTAATTCGTGAAGTCCAGAATAATACCCTTCATTACAATATTGGAGATCCAAATTATAAAAATACTATTCAAAAATATAACATTTGATCATCATCAATAATTCTCTATCCCGATATATAAATAATTAATTTATAGGTTTTTTAATGTTTGGCGATGAGTAACTATGATTGGTAACTAAAATTTGTTGTTGTTGTTATTCCATCGTTCAATATTGTTACTTAATTTTTTGTGAAAACAAAATTTAAAATCATTTTTAATTAAAATCTTACTTTTTTCACTGTACATATATTGTAAATTATTCATTTATATATATATATATATATATATATATATATATATATATATATATTAAATGGCACAGACACGCACAAATAACGACTGAAAAGTTTATTTGGTTCAATAGCTGAAATAATATTATCTTTATTTCTAAATAATATGATATTGTTATTTATTCGATTTAACACGGGACGGAGCTATTATATCTTTAAATCACATTTTTATTTTTGGGACGGAACTCGGATGCAGCCAAAATATGTACTGATTAATAATCCAGATTTTATAGTTAGAAAAACTACGATACTCAAAATAATTGTATGGAAGAAATAAAGAAAACAAATAAAAATTGTATATATTTGAATTAATAAATATAATATTAAAAAATGTTTTTTGTTTTGTTTAGAAATGGTCAAAAAAACTATTCATAATTGCATAGATACTATAAATTCAATAAATGAATTTGTTACGACCGGATTACAAAAAAATCTGAACAGGTATTCAATGTATAACATATTATTATTATCATATTATATTTTGTTATTTATTTATTTCATAAATAAAAATTTTATTTTTTATTTATTTTTTTATTTTATAGCTTAGAGACAGCAGAAAATAAAAATATTGACTAGAATATGATCGAATAAAATTGTACTAATTAAAATATTAATAAACCTATAATATATAATTTTCTATGTTATTAAATATATTTAATAAATTTTTTATACTTTTAATTACTATCTTAACATTTTTGTTCTAGGATATACATTAATTTTCTGGGATAAACTTGCCATTCCCCTAACCATAATATACTATAGCCAAATTGTATTATAATTATATATTTTGGTGACAATAATAAAAACATTGATAACTGATAGATATTATCCAAGATCACAATATAATATCTAATAGATGTTGATAATAGATATATAATGCATATATTTCGATCTGTATAGGTATCATAAATTGTAATATAGTGGATATATATGAGTTTTCGATTAATTAACTATTATAATTTGATTATGTTCCAGTTCTAGGGTGTAATTGTTATAACTATAAGGTTTTGATAATTGTTTTGTTTTTCATAATAATATAGTAAGGTCAAAAGCTAATTGTTTTTTTAATTTTTTTTTATTGCGCGTTTTTGCAATTACGTCGAACGTATTGTTTTAATAACCCAATGAAGATACAAATAATTTCATTTAAATTTAATAATGGATGTGTTGAAACATTTAGGTTATTCATAGATTTTACATACCAAAAATTTAATTTTTTCAAGACAATTTTATGACTAAAGACCGGATATAATCGCATTAAAAATATCTTAAAATTGTACTAAAAAGATTCCAAAATTTCAATAAAAATGTATCAACATTTCAGTATAAATATGTTAAAATTGCAATGAAATACATTAAAATTACATAGTAAAATCATATCAAATATATAATCATTAATTACTTACTTAAATAATATTATATACATTTATATAATATTTACAAAATATATCATTTTTCTGAATTAAAATTTATAATTATATACATCTCTAAATTTTGTTCTTGAAAATTTTATCGTCTGTTACTTAAAATATGTTTATATAATGAAAAAATACGTTCAACGTCGACACTTGTTATCGATGCATATTTAAAATAGTTTAAAAATTG